ACGTGCGACCAAGTTGCCGTAGGCTTGCGTGTACGGAGGCCGAAATGTGATACGGATCAGCCTGCAAGGTCAAATGGTTACGAGGGCAAGGAAAAAATGGCGTCTTTCCTTACTGAGCCGGTGTTTCGCCTTTCTTGAGCGCTGATACGATAAGGACGGGCGACCTTTCATGTCCTCATATTTCATCGATTCATTTATCAGAACAGCCCAGTTCTCGTCTTTTTTACAGTCTGATTTTTTATATGTGGCCGATATCAATTCAATGCGCCGTGGTTTTACTCGATTCAGCTAGGAGGAGGTTGTCTGGCCAGAGCTAGAATCAAGTTTCGATTCCGTCACCCTTCGTAGTACCAGTGCGTATTTATCACGCAACTCATCCTTCATACAGTTGACGCAAAGTAAGCCCGAGCTCGGTGTACGTCATAGTAAGAGGTATAGGCGATGATGGAGCATGACACTTCGCCCCTTTTAATACGGGGGGAAAAATCGGTGGCGTTTTGATACTGACTTTTACGCTTTGAAAGTGCGTGTGTGCGTTGAATTTTTAAAGTTACGAGTGTGAGTGGCCGAGGTTCGTATCTTGGCAGGGTCAGCATTTGCAGTGGCTGCCAGGCAGTAGGCACGTGAAACTGACAGGTCGCCTTCAGGTTTACGTCTTGGAGTAGTAAAAAAAAAAAGTCCTCATTTATTGTCAGGGGGACTGATATGCGACGGTATGTCGTCTCTCTTATCAGTTATTTCCAGATAATGGCATTATCTTGAGATACCTTTGCGTTCCTCCGAAGCATTTCTTGCGCAGTGGGGGTAATTTTCTGAGGTGCATCCATACAAAGATCCGTCTCCCTTTCCACGACTTCATTACAGTAATTTTTCGTGCTACAAAATCATTATTACGCAATTTAATACAAGCTTTTATGTTTGTATTGAATCCGTGAACGAGTAGGTAATGACGTGTACTTTAGAATTCGACGAAAAAGTCCTCGAAATAATGCAGAATAATTATGCTTGGAGCCCGTTTATGAAATGGGCCTGTAGCATGTTTAGCATTTCGTGAATCCGGCTTCGGATGCTGGCATCTTGATCGAGCTGTGTGTGTCTGCTGGACCAGTTGAGTTTGACCCAGTTCGCGCGCCACCTGGCCGCGTATCTCCAGACTCTAGCTCCGTACGGCATCGACGTTCGTGGGTCTGAGTGTCTTGGGGCCGAGGCAGCTAGAGCGCTGTGTGATTCCAGTTGAGGCTTGACGAACTTCGGAGATCAAATGGGGGAGGATGAGAAGTGCGTACAAAATTCTGGAAGGGAAGAGGTCACTCGGAGGGCTCAGACCTAGATACGGCGGGTCTTAAGGAAACTGGATTAGGATAGGCTGTTGTGACCTCAGTAAGGTGCCTTGTGGTTACATGAAAGTCTCTTTCTTTTAAAGCAGGGTGACTGTCGGCTTATGTTATGAGGAAGGTCTATGCTCCATGGAGGAATCGTTCTTTCTCTGTCTGACTCCCATTCGTAAGGAAATGTGCTCGCGTATGTTGGTCGCTCTTCCTGCCACATCCTTACCCTTTGGTCTCTGATTTCACTCGGGACCTCTCAGCCGATAAGCTATCTACCAGTGTGACGTGAGGCAGGCCAAAGTTTCGTCCCTGGGCGTGTTGTCGTGGCGTGATCAGTCCAACAGGTCACCTGGTTGCAGGTTGGGCGACCTGGTTTTGGTTCCCGGAGGACATATTTCTGTTCGTAATCGATGTGTTTTCAGACTGGGGGGGGGCTCTCGGTCCGACGTTTGGAAAATGGTTTATTACAGTTTGAAGCTGTCTGTCTTCTGGGATGTTGCGTCGTGTGCGTTTGTCGAGATCTGCCGACGTTTCAGAGGCGCTTACTGCCTCCATCGCCAAGGTGATGGAGGCAGTAAGCACCTCTGAAACGTCTATATTCTTCCTGAAATGCCGTCAAGTGTGCAGTTCGTTTTGGGCGTATTCACTGGCAATAACAGATAAATCCCCAGGACCATTCTTCCTGGACTTAACAAGTCTTAGATCACAATTCCCTCCAAAAACAACGATCATGTTGTAAATGTTTGTCTGTGGTTTACGTATATGCCAAGATCTGTAGACGCGGTGGAATTGTTGGGCGTTCCACGAGGTCTTGGCCCCTGTTCCCTGACCAAAGAGTGTCAGAATTACGTATGTTCACTGTTAGTTATAAAGGTAGGAATTTTGGGGTTGGGGGTTAAAATCATTTGGTTCGCGAGCAGGAGAAATCGCGATTGACGACCGTGTTTGTACACCCCTGGAGCCTGGCTGTTTATGGCCGGGTGACGTGATCGCCAGCTGGATGCCATTTCATGATCTTTTTAAAAGTCTCGTAAACAAGTTGGATCACAGGATCCCAATCTGTGGACATCGAATGCACTTCAAGTGCGTGGGTGCTTTCGTGTCCAGAAGGAGCGTCGGTAAACAGAAGTGCAGAGGCTCTTTGCGGTTTCCATTATAACCAGTTTCATGGTTCAATTCCCTCTGCTTGTGCCTTTCTTGCCCTGAGACCCGAGATGAGATCAGTGCCAGTCTCATTATGTCTCGTAGCAAAACAGCCCGATCTTGACTGGCGATCTCTCGTGCATATTTATGATGTATTTTTTGTTGTCTGTTGTGAGGGCTGGGCCGCGTTTCTTCACTTGCTTTGAACTCTACGCTTTTGTTGCTAGGGAACTGTGACATTCACAGTTGATCTTTAGGATTTGCGCGCTTTACGTAGTCAGATCTCTGAGAGTAGAACCTCGCGATCTTGGGAACAGTTCCTCCCGCCCTCAGATGTTATCGTGTTGACCTCTTCCGAACGCTCGGCAGCAGGTGTCCTTTCGAAATCTAAATCGAGTGACTCGTCTCAAAGACAGGATCTGTAACTTTGGGCATTCGGCGAATAATTGATTGGAAAAATGCGGAACGAAGTTGTCGTGCCGATGTTGAAGGCAAAGATTTGAACCCGGTACCCCCCCCCCCCAATA